AGTGCTTTGTACGGTATTTACGCACTCGTTATTTTTGTACCGTTTTCTTTATCGACAGTGAAACAAACGAAACTATTCTACTCCATTTCCGAAATGTTTTTCACTTTTTTAGCGAGAAATGCTCTTTGAGTACTAAAAAAACTTTTCTCGTTGAATGTGTGCGAAGCGGCGCTGCAAGCTGCAATAAAAGGCGGGAATTTTGGCGCGAAACTCACACACCTCTGTGGCTTCTGATTGGACGTATCATTTTTCTCACACGTGAAAAAACATCGTTCGCGATTCTGATTGGACGTATCATTTTTTTCACGTGTGAAAACCATCGTTCGCTCCTCTGATTGGCTAGAACTAATTTGCGTACGAAAATTTACGACATAGCTTTTGGTGAGTATTTCTCAGTATGTATATGATAAAAGTAGTTACGTCTCTAAAAGACACTTAGTACTGGTCCCAAAAGTGTCTTGCACCGAGTTGACTGTATCACAGTCGAACTCTAAGGGTTCCATTTCTTCAAGGAGAAAGAATGGCACATTTATATACCCGCTCATTATCTTAACAGTGCAGAATGGTATTAGGCCCGATTCAAACCTCGTGCTACTGCCGTGCTAAGCTGGCTCGACTGTAGCTCAACTGCAGTACGGCACCAGCACGACTTGGTTTCAGAAACCTTGCAAATAACATGAAAATAATATGAAAAAGAGCAAATGAAAACGTCCACGCTTCCCTCGTGCGTCGCGCTCACATTCCCCGCATCTACTTCACACGATTTCTATTTGAAGAGAAGTGAACAATTAGTTATTCCGTATGCCCGACGTATTCTTTTATTATTGGGCTTCCCGTGGGCCCCAATTATGGATTGGGTTTTCTCCGTCGAAAAAAAAAAACACAAAAAGGCGGACGGCTCACCCAGAAGGCGTTACGTGTCCCACTCCCTCTTCAATAGGGCCGATTCTTGCGGGGAGGGGACGGGCATTTCAGGTCGTCTGACGAACAGATTTGGAAGTCGATTTGGAACTAGCACAAAATTATTTCGTGGAGTTATTGGCCCTATATCTACGCCGAATGATTATCTAAATGCAGTATTCAATGATATTATTAGCCTGTGCGGGAGCTGAAAAAAAAAAACAATGCCCTCCCACAGTCCCCACGGGAAAATCTTTCTTTGCAATAAAGGAATATGCTATTTGTAGATCGCCCCATCAAACAGCAACATATTCACTTGCCATGGATAGTTAGAAGGGCTTTAAATGCAATATCCGACAGAAATAAAACTAAAAATTCATTCGCTTTGCGAGTTTTAAGAAACAGCAATTTACAGTTATTTAATAATATTTTAAACACCAAAATTGACCCTGTCACGTTTTATAAGCGTAGAACGATAATAATTTTTGCGTGTTTATTTGGTATAACCTTTCAATACTAAGCAAGCAATGAGACCATGCAATATGTAGATGATAATGTGCAATTACAAAGGTAAGACTTTGGGGGCCTGAGGGAGTAAAATTGCCTTGTTTTATCCTGGAAAATAGGAGTTTGATTACTGGTACTGGGAATTACAACAAGATATGAAATAAAGAAAAAAGCATCTGTATAAAGTGAAAGCTTAAATGTAATGTGATAATGAGAAAAATACATGAGAACAACCAAAGCCGGGGGCTTAAATGGCCTAAGGTCAGGAGAAAACGTGAAGGATTTACATGAATAAAAGAAGGCTTTAACTAATACACATTCTTATAAAAAGTTTCACAAACTAGAGGAACTGATAAACAGAATAGAAGGACTGCAAAGCCATTATGTACATTTTACCCTGATTTTCACTCAACTGCAAATTCAGTAGAACATAAACAACTTTCCGCCTTTTCAATTTCCTGCCAACTAATTTCATATACCCGGCAACTTGAAATCAGTGACAACCTTGTGGATCTAGCTTTTACGTCATCAGTGTATAAAAATGATTTATTAATTTGGATTTTTTGTTAAATTTGACTGTAAACACTTCTGGGAGTAAAAGGGCTAAGTCAAGAAACCATCAATGCTATACATGCATTAGACTTTTATTCTTTTTCTTTTTTTTTTTAAATCAAAAATTGTTTTAAGCTTTTAATTTTAATTATGCTAACTTATACTAAATATTTTTATATTGGAAGAGACCATTTTGACCCACCTTTACATTGGTGTGCTAGAGTTGCTGTTTTTTATCAAAAATTTTACTTCATCAGTTTTTTTGTACCTTACATGTAAATACTAATACTGAATTTGACCCATTTGAAAAGTTTTTGTATCTTTGTATTTAAACTTTACTTAGGTGTTGTAATATTCTTCCTTTTTTCAAGTACAGTGCCATTCAAAAGTTTTGCCGCACTGCTGTGGATCCTCAGACAATTGTTAATTCCCCCCATGTGTAATGACAGAGATGCTAACACATAAATAAATCACGTTATATTTAGAAAATTCAGTTTAGAAAATCAGTTTGTTTTGTTCTCTAAGACCTTGTAAAATTACTCTTTTCGGGGCAACACTTAAAGAACGCGATTCTTATTTATTTAGCATACCTGGTGATTTTCAAGGGATTTGAAATGTGAAAATAAGACAGGCAATTTGAAAACTGGTTATGATAGAGAAAAATTGGAAATGGAAAGGAGCCGTACTTCTTAAACTACAATGTACTACTCCTTTGCATGTCCGCGTAACGCGTAAAAGTATTCTTGTAAAGATGTCTAATATAAGATCTTTACACCAACTTTACGCGTCAATTACGCTGGTTTAAGTGTCTACTTTAAAGCGTATTTACACCAACTTTACGCAGAGCTTACAGTGTTTCTTTACAACACCTTTACGCATGTGCGTAAAGGTAGCGTAAACTTCGACTTAACGTGGCGTAAATTAGTCGTAAAGTTACGTAAATGAGGACTTTACGCCAGCTTTACGCCACCATTACGCTCACTTAAATTTGTTTTTTCGTGCTGTGTGACTTGTTTGAAGACAGCATTGTTCATGTTGCACTTGTTAGTGCATACTGTATCTGTAAGAAGAACCTATTGGAAAAAAGACAGTTGACAAATAAATTCAAAATCCTCTGGTAAATCTATTTTGCGAAGGCCACCAAAAATAGCTCTTACTGTTAACACGGTATTGAGCTTTTTAAACATTTTTTGCTGGGAAGGTTGAGGTTGAGGGGGTTGACGTAAAGTCGGTTACCACAAAAAGAAAATAGCCGCAATTACTTTTTCAACAACATTGTCACTCGTTTTAAGTTTAATTTCCAGTGATATCCCTTGATTACCTGTGTCAATATTGGGAACCCATACTCCTTAAATAAAGGCCTCACTAGCGACACGACCAACAGAAGCATAATTATATGAGCATCGGCAAACCTTGTGTGACAAGCGTAATATAATGATACTGTTTGAAAACATTATCCGCCAAACTTCACCTGAAAACAGATCTTTCTTGTAAAAGACCATAACACAGTTATGTTAGGTGAAGATCACGACAAAACTCGCAAGCAACAGCCCATTCGCGCTTGTCACACAAACTTTTTGCCGTCCTCTTCTCTCTGCCGTCCTGTTGCGTCCCAAAGAGGACGCACCCAGAGACCGAAATCAGCAAACACACTACTGGCTTTTCCTGGGTATATTACGAACCATTAGAGAGGTTCAGCATCACGTTTACGTCAAACGGCAAACGCGAATTTGTACCACGTGACCAAGTTTCCTCTTTTAATACTTGTTGTTTACTGCTCATTATTTCTTCACCTAAATTAGTAGTTTCATGCAATTTTTTATCCATAAGAATTGTTTTGAGCTGTTTTTATCTGCTCATTTTCTATTTTGAGAAATTCTCAACTTGAATCGGGCGTTTGCTGCTTGCCGTGTACGTGAAGCTTAAACTCTCCAACATAATGACCCAATTGGTATGCTGGCTTAATTGGTTAGAGCGCTGCACCCGTATCGCAGAGGTCTGGCATCGAATCCCGGCAAACTGCAAGCCGGGGTTTCTTCAAGCTTTTCACAAATGCACAAGTCAGCGAGTTTAGCCCGCGTGGCTGGCGTTCGAAACGGACGAGGAAGAGAATTTGGGCGCAAGACCGCTTCTTGCGCGCCCCAAATCCCCTTTCCCGTCCCTTTTGAACGCCTGCCACTCAGGCTATAGCAAGTTTAAATGCGAGGATCTTCGTTACATTTAGCCTGCGTGGCTGGTGGGATTAGCGTGGGAGTGCTGAGAAGAGTGGGTACAAGTCAATTTGAAATCTTCCCTCGCGGCAAGCCGCTCGCGAAAATCCCTCGCTTCCACCCTCGCTTCGCGTGGCGGCTCCGTCGCCACCCTGGGCACAGGAATTCCGCCAGCTACACAGGCTACCCAATCCCTGGTTTATGGATCGCGTTGCTCTGGAAATCACAGCCGTCATAGCAAACTAGTTGATACAGGCATCAGCCATTCGCTCCAACAGCAGCTGTTCCTCGATAATGTTCTAACAAAGCGGAACACCAAAGATAAGAATGTTAGAGTCTTCTCTTCGATAACTTATGCCGGCCCTTGCACTACTGTTAACTCAGCATTCAAACTGACTACACATTTGCAAAGCAATTCGCGGGAAAAAAGTCCTAGCCTACGATTTCACTTTAATAACCATTGGTAATGCTGAAGAGTAGCTTATACGCGAATAAAAAAAATTACAATTTCAGATAAGCGCGACCCACGAAACATGTAGCATGCTTTCTGGACGACGATTGTCGTAGTCAATGCTGATATATAACTACAAACTAAAAAAGTTACGTCATTTTTTTAAAACTCTTTCTGGAACGTTTCAGTCGGGGGGGCGGGGGGGGGAGGGGGGTTGGCGGGATGGGGTCGGCTCGCTCTTCCAACAGTTTGGTGACAGGTTTTTTGTCAAAGCGTTCTCAACAAGTCTGTTAAAACCTAAAAGTAAGGAAACATTTTTTGCAACGGGACAAACGCAGTTGTTTAATACTGACATACACGACAAAGAGGATGATCAACAATTAATCAGCAAGGAATCTAAGTTCTTTAAGTTTGTACACTCTGTTGAAACAGCGCTGAAATCTTTGTTCTGGGCCTTCACCTGTGTACAAGGATTTGAGTTCGCGCCATGATTGGTCTGTTAAAAAAGCCATTATAATCGATTCCTCAATCAAGATGAAAGGAAAATTAACCCTCTTCTGGTAATTTGTTGAGTCCATTGGGGGCCTAGGACAAGGATATCAGCGCTGCTGCACAGACCTTACTAACCAATGTTAAACCATGTCTGAAACACAGGCTTGTACACCTTAGTAAGCTTAGTCTTATACATGAATTCGTGTACCTCTTGTGGTTCAAGGATACTGCTTCTCTATGTTCTCGTGAAGACATGAAATGCGACAAATGTATATGAAATACATCAACTGCGTAGATCATGCTTCACTTGATTTCATTTCCGCAGTTCTCACGTATATCATTTATTTCATTTATTTACATTTTTCACATTTCATCTCTTTCATGGGAACATATGAACACCTAATTGACCTGCTCCCAACATCAGTGGCTTCATAGCTCAGTTGGCTAGAGAATTGCACCCATATCGCGAGGTCATGGGTTAATTCAAATCCCCTTGAAGTCCTGAATTTTTTCCAGGCTTCTCTTACATGCAGTTGCATAAGTTGCATTATAACAACTGCAAGGATCATTTTTCACTTTTAAGTCCCATGGTTTTCTAACCCTAATAACAATAGTCCACCGTCAGTCCACAGTCTGCATTTTACTCTGTCCTTTTTACAATGAATGTTACCTGATAAACCTGTCGTTTGCAATTAGGCCAATATTGATCCATTCAATATATTTTCCAATGATGTCCAGAGGCACGTTATTGATGACAAGCTATTTTCATATGTTTTCTGCATACAAAACACAATACAAAATAACAGTCAATAAAACTGACATCAACCTTATTGTTTTGCTAAAATACCGGTATATGATTCTCACCTATCACAGTCTGAAACCAAGAGTCAACAGGCTTTCTGATGCACATATCCCTGATGTGATCTTTAATTTTTGTGTTTCTTTCTACTTCCTGTTCATGGAAGAAAAATTATATTTAGCTTCTCAACAGATTCATCTGTAAATGGTTTTACAAACTTGTACAAGTGCAACCAACTGAAACTCATCAAAAGTTGACAGTTTTAATAATCGATTTATGAGTCTTAAAAAAGGAAATGATGACACAAGTTTTAAGATGTCAACAATCAAGATTCTAGAAGAAATGTCTTACAATGTAACTCTTAAAAATGGATTTTGATTTTCATAAGAAGCAATAGACCTCTCTAGCTTGTATATTTTGTATTCTCAATAGAGGTCCCAGGGGAACATAACCCTTTGTCTTTTCATAATTTATGAGTAGATATGCACGTGAATAAGACAAAATTTGAAAGAAACAGTTCTCTAGGGTGTTATCATATGACCTGTATTTGAAAAAACAAAACATACAAGCTAAAGAGGTCTATTTCACACATGTACAATGTAGCCCTTCGTAGAGTAAATGTTTAGATATTAGCACCAACAACTTAATGTGTGTGGCATGGTGGAGTTTGTCACAACTTGAACAAGCTTGTATATGCATAGCATGTTTAGATATTAACACCAACAACTTAATGTGTGTGGCATGGTGGAGTTTGTCACAACTTTAACAAGCTTGTATATCAGGTAAATATAAGAAATTTATGTACAGTCCACCCTGCTCTACAGACACCCGCTAAATACGGGTTCAGCTTCACTTGCTCTATGCACTGCAGGACGTAGTACAATACATAGTTCTAATTGAATAGGTAATCAATTTCTGTTTGATGGTACCCCTCTTTGTTGAAGATTTATTTTCACCCATGGATATTGTAACATAGATATAAAAACAATACACAAAATTAACCTGTTGAGTCCTTATCACATCTCTATCTACCACTTCCTCATCAATTGCCTTCAAAATCCTAAGGTACATATCCACGGCTAATGCTCCATATTGCAAGCACTGGAGAAGGTCTGAGAAAAACAGCAGCCACTACAGGGTGAAGAGAAATGTAACATGAAGTTAAACAAAATTAAGGCAGCTGATAACAAGGAGCGTCGTCGCGTGCTGTTGCATGGTCAGCGGTCAGTGTGGTCAGGCTCAAGTGCAGTCAGCCTTGCTAACATCAGCTCCATGTGCTTAGTACAATGCTTTCAAAGCAGCTACTCGCTTTGTTCAGCCCTTGGATTGTGCCTTTCACCCAACCCTTCCCTCCCTTTAATTTTTATCTGATAAATCATTGTGACAGGTGCCTGGTTCCATTGGTGTGGGGGCTCATGGCTGCAAGGTGTGAGTTTACCAGCAATGAGTGTGTAACACTGTCTAACTGTCAAGTTATAGCCTGCGTAGCATTAGCGTTTCCAGTCGAGTTATAGTGCGAAAGTTGGAGCGGGAGCAAAAAAAATGGAAGGGGGAAGGGGAGGGGAGAAAAGGAAACACTTGCCCGCCCCTACGATTCTGGAAAACCCCCCTTGATATTTCACGGTTTGGTTCATTTGTAAATTGACAGCACGTCAAGATAGATAACGAATAGATTACCAGATCTGAAAAATTTACTTTGTTCCCTAAAACACGCTCCATGTGATTGCAAAACTGTAATATATAAAAAGAAGCTTTACGTTAAAAGAAGGTTGAAACTCTAAGCGATTGCTGCGGAATTTCTTGTTCTTTACAGTTACGTAAGTGATATTTTGAATGTTATGTGGCTTTTTATCTCATCTGAAACCTTGTCACAACGCCGCAAAGAAATGATTTGTCCGGAACAATTCACTCCGCCGGCTGTAAGTTTTGCAGAGCAGCTCCTTTCTATAGGTGAGCCAGTGTCGAAAAGTTCTCTTTAATACATGCTGCTCAATTTCCGATCACTTCTCCATGGCGGCTCTAGCTAGTGTCTATTACCGATGTTCTGATTTATTTGATGTTACCTCCAGTCAGATACGCACGCCGCCATTCCCAATAAATTGGCCTTCACTAGTCTCCACTGCTCGATCTCCAATTATACTTTTTATTGAAGAGACTCAGATGTGATAAACCTTCACACAAACATGATTCAAATAAATATCAGACCATGCATTTGTAATCTGCGACCACAAATAACATCAGACCAGATCTGCGACGCACGTCAACAAAACATACCTGCTTTGATTGATGTTTCGGGTGCTAAGTAATCAACACTACCAGCACCCAACCAATCAAAAGCTGAGTTCGTGGGCGAACACAGTTTTTCAAAATCATGGGGTTTGCGGGCAAGCGTTTCCTTCTCTCCCCTGCGCCTCCCCCTCCCCTGTCATTCCTTTTTGTTGTTCCTCTCGTCCCAATGTTCTTGACGAACTCACGCAGAAACGCTTGCTACGCAGGCTAGTCAAGTTACAATTTCAGGTATCAGTATTCACACTCATAACATGACTCAGTTCTTTCTTTTCGTGACAAACAGTGCAACAGTGTTTCCCTTCCTCCCACTAAAGTGTGTGTTAGTTTGACAGCAGTGTATTGGGTTCTGGAATGTTTTTCTATTTTTTCCTTTGTTTTTTGAAAACTTTTTGTGATGGAGGTGCTGTTGCATTGTTGCATAGCAGACAAATGGCATTCAGTGCGCGAGAAGTTATGATTTTTAACAGTAACACATGAAATAACAATACATGTAAATAAGCTAACCTTCTCAGGATAATCACAGACAAAGATCAAGCTAAAGACTTGGGCTGCCTTGTTCTTCAAGAAATTCTTGTTATATGACTCATCAGTACAACACTGAAAAGTTACAACAAGGGTCAAAGAAAAATCACAGTGAAATTACGTTAAAATAAGCAATAAATTACACAAAATTAATATTTATAATACAGTTAAACCACCTATAAATGACCACCCAAAAGGCAAAGACCTATTGGTCACTTCCAGGAGTAGGTTGTTCACAAGAATTGAACACAGGGGGTCTCTTGCAAGAAGAGGTCCAGACACATGTATTATATATAATTAGAAGATAATCTGTTCCATGCAAAATCTGAGTTAGCCTGAGAAAACAGCTGACATTTGCTGGCGCTACCACTGGTTTCCCCACCCAATGATGTCTGAGAAACAAGCAGAGAAACTCCATACTGATGACACCTCACTACCCAGATGTGGGTAGTGCTTCTGACTGGTTGAATCAAATTTAACCTGTTGCATGGAATTTCTGAGTTGCAATAATTTATATGTAATCCCATGTTGTTCTTCTAATACTCTAAGTAGCATAGTATATACAGCAAACATGAGATCAAACCAAGTGTCAAAAGGTTACTTACAAGAGGTTAAAAACAACAAATAATAATTAAGCCAAGAGCCGTGAAAAGTGGTCATGGTAACTTACAGAAGGTGGTCTTTATAAAAAGGAGAGGTTCCAACCATGAGGCTTTGAATAGGAAAACTTTGGTGATTTGGACAGGTGGTTCAGATTGTGGTAGGTGGTCTCTTATGAGAGGTGGTTACAAATTAAGGACCTTTGACTGTATAAGATGAAAATGCTGTCAACCAAGGCTGTGCTCTAACAGAGCCTGGTGGCCCCTGAAGCTTCATTTTTGCTCATGGGCGACTAGAAAATCTTACTTTTTTCATACAAATCATATGCTGGGCACTCTAGATTTTACAGTTTCAGAGCACCCAGGGCTCCCTTTAATTTTTGTTAGAGCACAGTCTTGACAATGTTGGATCCATTCCTTGGGATTGCAGGGGTCTTTGGGGGTTGAATGCTAATCCAGACCTATTCTTACCTTTCTTAGCTACACGCATAAGGTGGTAAAGTGTATATTAACATCGCTCGAGTGTTTTAGGTGTTGTAAAGACAGGAGAGAAAGGGACAATGCCAACCAACTTCATCCTCAAATTCCGTGGAATTAAATTGAATTGCCTTTGACCAACTTTGTTTTGCATCAAAAAGTATGACAAAGTTGGACTTCAACAGGCAGATCAGGTAGGTATAAGAATTCAAAGAACAAAGGTGCTAGTAAGACTCTCATGGCTTTGCAAACCAATGCACTCATGTCCACTTTTAGGTATCTTTGCACAACTATAAAAAACAAAGTTTGATTACGTTGCTCTAGTCCTTTTGACATGAAACAAGTTGTTTCAATTTTGATGAAAGCAAAGAGAGAGTCTAGACCATAATAATATGTCAAAGGTATTAGCAAGATATCCTTTTTCACCTTAAGTCTAGGGTGAGTAGCAAAAAAATAAAAAGAAATGTTCCTTGGGATTCTACTGCAGAGTAATGCCTAGTGTACCTGATTTTGCAGCCAGGTCAAAAGAATCTCTCTGAGTGCTTGTTGATCTACAAGATTTGATGACACATGTCTGTGTACAAAAGAAAAAATAAAAACATATAGTCATTTTTTTGCAGGATCACACACTTAAGCAAGATCATCTGATATGTCTTCTACAGTGCAGAAGACTGAAGCATGTGTACAGTATACTCAATACAGCTAGCGATCAAATGTTTATAAGTTATTTCTGGTAAGAATACAGTTAAACTAGCCTGAAATTCATCCGATTGCTTCAAGTCGTTTTCTCCTCTCAACAACGACATTACTGAGGGAGTATATATAATAACGACTCGAAGTAATCAGATGAAATTCGGGCTACAGTAATAAACCCAATTGTCTCTAGTTGAATATTTTTCATTATAATAGCCTACATAATATCATTCCAAGTGAGTAAACATTTAAAAATTAAATTTTCTGATAACATCTTTTAATAAGAGTTATTCAGAATAATTTTAATAGTGGACAAAAATTTAAAATGGCAGATCAACCAACAGAATAAAACCTTTTTGATTTTTCCATGGAAGGAAGAGTACTTTTAAAATGGATGCCACACCTAAACACAACTCTGTGTTTCAAGAAAGTTGATGTGATACTGCATGGAGCTATAAGTACATGTACTAGAATAGATGCTCAGTCATGAGTGGCACCCTTGAGATGAGAGAAATGTGTCCAGATAATTATGTGAAAAAAAAAAACTCTAAAACTGATATAAGCTGAAAGTAGAGCTGTCTACTTAACCCTTTAAGTCCCAATATCCACATACAAATTCTCCATACTGATCTCTGTATATTTCTTTAAAGAAAGAGTTGAGAGAATTTGATAAAAGACCAAAGCATTTTCTCTTAGGTGATCATTTTATTCATTCTCATAACCTAATCTCTTGACAATCTATGGATATTGTTAAGAGAAAATTAATGTTGGTCACTATTGGGACTTAAAGGGTTAAGAGGAGTGTACTGTCCAGAGTCTCAACTGTATCAACTGGGTGTTTATATACATAGGTAAAAACACACAGTTTTTCAAATAATAAACTTTTTCAATACCTGCAACGCACTTTATGACATGTCTGGTTACATTAGCCTGTGTAGCTGGCAAGATAAGCAGATGTTTGCTGTAATGTTTTTAGGCATCAGAGCGGCAAGAAGATTGGGAGCATTCAGCAAGTTAAATTGAAATCCTGCTTGCCTTAATCTTTCTTTTCCAGCCAGCCATAGCTTGTTTGCAGGATTTTTACCAAAAAAATTGTTCATTATAGTGGGGTCTTTGCTATAGCGAAGCAAAGCAAGCCGAGCGGTAGTCTGGGAAGGAGAGAGGGTAGAGCCTGGAGAAATGCCTTGATGCCGCCAATCCACCCTCGTCCATTATTTTAAAATCTGTTCCCGAATTTTAGGTACATGATATTGAAAGAGCATGATACTGTCCACAGCACTGCAAATCTGTCAACATGAAGACATTATTTTGACACCAAAATGGTATCATAGAATGACAGCATCAGAGGCATGTCTCTAGGCTCTGCTGCATTTCTCCCCTGCCCCCTCCCCCCTCCAGGCCATCGCTTTTTCCTTTTTGACCCTGTTCTTTGCCCTTTCCCCCACTGCGGAGCTGGTTCCAGACTATCCAATTTTTGTCAATCAGAAATAGAGAAATATTTTGAATGAAAGATAATGTCCTATATAAGCTAGTTGCATATGAATTATGAATGATAACGTGAAAAGAATAATTATATCAAATAATGAAGCCATTAAATCAAGCTCTGAATTAATGCACATAGGTTTCAATAAATTAATGTCCAAAATATCACACAAAAACAATTAACTTTAATATCAAATTTAAAATACCTGTAAAGATTACGAATTAGGGCATCACAACATAGCTTCCAGCCGTCTGGGGAATTCTTTAGCTGTTCAAAATATTGTAGGGGCTATACCATGGCCATAAAAGAATTATAATAAGAATCATTTAATCTATGTACAATTGCAGTGCTAAATGTTCGAACACGAACCGAATGGTTCAAAACAAATGTAGTTAGCAAGAACCTCACCCCTGCCTGTGATGTCGCATTTGTGGCCGCCTAAAGCCCTTGTAGCAAATTATCAGCCATGAAAACGCTTCCAAAAAATGGTGCTCATGGACTTCACATTGCACGTGGAGCTAAAAGAGACACGATTTTCTCCTTGCACCGTAGTGAAAAAAGGCAGTGTTTACGAGGTCAAGAACAATAATGATTTAATTCAATTCCCACAGGGTTTCAAATGGGCAAAAAAGCAACTGAGAATTTACATTTTCACTACTTTTCGTATCAAAAAGAAGAACCTCCATACAACTTCCAACTTTCCAAGTGCAGGACCACGTTGCATCATTTTGACCTTCATCTGGTAAGAGCCAAGGTATGAGTATCGAAGATGCTCCTTTCTCTCGTACCCAGGCTACTCATTGGAGAAGACAGAGATAATTATAAAACAAAGGGCCCTATTCTCTGTTTTATAGTTCCTTTTTTGAAGTATCACCTTTACATATTTTGTTATATTCTAGTGTCTTCTTAAAATTTTATCTTATCATGACTAGGCTTTAATAGATTGTGCTCGCAAACTGTAGTACTTATATGCTAAAACAAAACTGAATGCAAGGCTGGCACTGCGGCAAAGGGCTGATTTATTATGGGCCAGTTATATTTACCTGTTGATTGGACCTCTGCATTTAAACAGTTTTTTCCTTTTTACTTATATGCTGCTAGCAGATGGCTCCTGTGCTCGTATCCCTATACGGTATTTCTAGAACAAAACAAATAATTATGCTAGTTGTTTGTAAGTTATATGCTCGTTTTACAGCAAAATATGCAAAATTATGCTTCTACTTTTTACTGGAAATTTGACAGGATCACCTCAAACATTATGCAACAAACAGGTGAATGGCAAACACATAACCTCTATACCTGCCAACTTTTTCTGAGATATAAGCATGAGATTTTTATCCTGGGAGTGCTGGGATTTTTGAAGACTACAAGATAATTTCCGAAGATTCCTGAAGAAGTCCGAAGACTTCTGAAGACGTCCGAAGTCTGCCGAAGGGGAAGTTATTGAGTCCCAGTCTTAGGACGCGTATAAACTCGAGCTCGCTCCCAGTGCTTTTCTCTTCAAACATCAGAGATCGCGAGGAAGGTATTGTCATTTATTCATTTTACATACGGTTTTTGTTCCTTACATGGGTCTGAGTTAACATATTTTTGGAAATTGTATCAAGCAAGACGGCAACAATTCACATTTTTCAATCAGGCGTGAGAAACTGGCCCGCAAGCGTGAGCCGGCGTGAGATCTAAGTTTTCAACCCGCAGGCATGAGACTCACGCCTAAGGCGTGAGAGTTGGCAGGTATAAACCTTATTTGGTCTGGAATCGCAGTGAATGAACGTATAAATTTATTGTTTCAATTCTAAATGAGTAAGAAAGAAAGAAAAAGATACGAATTCGAAGTGAATTTTAAGAAAGGCTAGGTCTGAAAACAGATATGGATTTTAGAGCCATGCAGGTATGAAAAAGGTGTCAAAATGACATTTTTTGGTCCAAAATAGGGTCAGGATTTGGATAACTGGGCACATACACCCCCACCAAGAATTCCCAGGAGTACCTTCCGGGCCTTATTTACATCTAGAAACTTAAAGAGAGCATAATTCAGTTATTGTCTGGCAGCTTTGATACAAAAACTCAATCAAGCAGACGTGATCTTGGGAGGGGGGGGGGGGGATTAACAGAACTTGTTATGCGGAAGACGGAAGACTGCAAAAAGTAAATACTGTAGGACTTAATTAATTAACAACTTATTAGCCATATATGGTTAGGAAATTTTGTTGTTTGTAATTTTAGTTATTTGGAAATTCAAATAGTTGATATACTATTTATTGTATAAGACTTCAAATAAAAAACATGTATGTATGTATGTATGCGTTGAATGCAGTGGAAAAAGTCCTGGGTCTCTTCCTGTAAGATCCAGGTCCCATGAATGTGGCAATACTGAGCAAACAACAAATTAATTTTGTTACTTAAATTTGGCAGTAACATGTACTGATCTCAGGATAATGAATGATTTTCCAGTAATTGGAGACTTAGTTATGCGCACAGGATTTCGCGATCACCAGGAAGCAAACATTGTAGGTCGCTACAAAGAAATACAGTAAGGCGTGGAATTTGAGTATCTTTTGACATGTAGAATTCCGCATTTTTGCAATGATTTTAAAATCTTATTTTATTTTTATTATTTTATTTGTGCTGCAAAACGAACCAAAAGTGAAATTATCCTAGTAATGGCGAATTATGCCAAAAATGATGGTCCTAGCCAGGAACCCCGTCGTTATATCTGCTCAAGGCGCAATTCAAGTTATGTAAAGATAATACCTGGTAAAAGTGCTTTCCTTTTTTAACGAAAGCGCGACCCAGGGACACAAGGCACAGGGTACAGAGGAGTTGCGTGTGAATAAATGAATTACTTATTTAAAGTCTCACCTTGAAAAATGTCTATAGCTGTCGCTTAGCACGATTAATTAGCCCAGTGGGATCTTTATGAATCTACTGTAAACGATTTCTTCGCTTCTTATCTGACCCAGATCGACTTTGTTGTTCGCCATCTTGAAAATCAATAACCGCAAGCCATATCTTCGCTGGCGCACGGCACGTCGCCCGAAGGGCGACCGAGGCGCGAAGTGCCGAGTAAAAAATAAAGCCGATCTTGCGAGCCCTCAGTCGCTTAGTTTGCTGTCTATAGAATGTGTAACGAAACTGTAACGCGATCAAAATAACCCATTTTTTAGAGGTTTTCGACGACTTTTGATGTTCTAACGAAAAACACATCTCCTCTGGCCCCTGTACCCAAGGGTACATTGATCGCCGCCAGGTGCCACCCGTCGCCCTGGGGACGATGTTGAGCTTCTCACATAGCGCTAATTTATTACACCCATTTAATTACACCCAGGATTTTAAGGTGTACGAGGGGACAAGTGACCAGCCGATGCCAGGGCCTTTTCCCACCCCACCCATTTTTTAA